TAGTTGCTACTGCTTGGTCTAGTAACCAAATTGTAACGGCTTCATCTTCTTTTAAATTCCTAGTCAGTAATTGGAAGAACAATACCTTTGGTGATCTCAAACGAAAAAAGAATAGAATTTTAGCTAGGCTTAGAGGTATTCAAAATTTCACCTCTTATTACTCAAGTCCCTTTCTTCAAAATTTAGAAGCCACACTAAGAGTTGATTTTAATAACATCCTAAAAATTGAGTAGGACTACTGGAAGTTCCGATCTAGAATTCAATGGCTTAATGATAGAGATGCTAACACGAAATTCCACTACATTAGGCCAATTGGACTTTGTAACACTATTTACAAAATCATTACCAAGATTATTTCTAATCGATTAAAGCCTTTCCTAAACAACCTCATTAGCCCTTTTCAATCTAGTTTCATTAAAAATAGGAAGGCATGTGACACTGCCATTATCATTCAGAAACTCTTGCTCAAAATGAACAAATACCGTGGAAAAAATCATAATATGATCTTAAAAATTGACCTAGCAAAGGCTTTTGTTTGCTTGGAATGGTCCTTCATCTACAGAACCCTTTGCTTCTTTAATTCCCACCAAATATTACGAAGCTCATTATGAATTGTATTATCTCATCTAGGATTTCAATCCTCGTGAATGGCTCTAAAACTGACTATTTTGTTCCATTTAGAGGTATTAGGCAGGGGGGTCCTATGTCCCCATACCCGTTTATTTTATGTATGGAGATGTTATCCACTCTCATCAGCCATAATGTTGACATGAGACGCTGAGACCCTATATGCATAGGAAAAAATAAATACCAATTATCCTATTTTTTTCCTGCTGATGACCTTACCTTAATGGCCAAAATCAATAATAAAATCATTCATAATATTAAGCATTGTCTCGACCTCTTTTGCTCCTTGTCTGGTCAATCCATCAATAGAGCCAAATCAAAAATTGTTGTGTCCAAACATTGCCCAAAAAATGTTTGTAACAACATTTCTAATGTCCTTAAAATGAATACTTGTCACGCCTTTGGTAAATACCTAGGCTTTCCAATTACAAATTCCAAGCCTAGAGCATATGATTTTCAATTTGTTATTGATAACATGCTAACCAGACTAGCTACATGAAAATCAAATTGCCTTACTATGGTAGGGAGGTGCACTTTAGCGACTTCATGCCTAAATTTCCTCCCCAACCACATTATGCAATATTCCCTACTGCCTCTAAGACCCTTAAAATTATTGATAAAATTCAACGTAATTTCTTATGGGGCACAAATTCTACCTCTAAAAAGCTCCACCTAATAAAATGGGACTCTATCACCATGCAGAAAAAAGAGGGTGGTTTAGGGATTCGTACTGCTGGAATAAAGAATTTAGTTAACCTAGCCAATCTTGCATGAAGACTTCTAGCAAATGCCCACTCACCTTGGGTTAATATTATCCACGAGCTCCATGGTAATAGAAGTAACTGTAAAACGGGCTCCTTTATCTGGAATAACATTATCCAGGGATGGGAGATTTGTAGTAAAGGGATTACTTGGATCTCCCACAAGCTTTCTTCTCTAAATGCCCGGGACAATTGTTGGATCCACCAAACCCCTCCATTACGCCAATGTATCCATGGTCTTCTAGGTGAGAATGAAAATTTACTCTCTATTAAGGACTTATGAACAACCAGTGGGACTTGTCTAAAATTTCTTTACAAATCCATGATCCCTTATTAAACAAGATTAAAGCCACCATTCCTAACAACTACAATTGTGATATTCCGGTATGGTCACTAACCACAAATGAACTTTTTTCTAGTAAGTCTTGCTATAATCTCCTAGTCACCCACCGTAACATAACTCAAGATTTTAGTTGGGTCGGGACCTAAAATGTCCAAACAAAATAAAATTCCTACTATGGAAATGCCTCCACAACAAACTACCAACTAAATCCTACTTAAACCACATTGGAATCAACATTGATCCTAACTGCTCCTTTTGCAAACATGATAAGGAAAGTACTACCCACATCTTTATGCAGTGCTCAGCAGTCAAGGACTTCTGGCTTCAATTAGGCATCAACATGAGTGGTTACAACTCGACAAACCATTGGCTGATCAATATTCGCGACCTTAACTGTTCTCTAGGAAAGGGCCACATAGATTGGCATGATATGTTCCCCTTTGCAATATGGTGCATTTGGACTAACAGGAATAACAACCTCTATAATAACACCACGAACAAAGCCAACATATCTTACTCTTACAAGTTAACGGTTGAATACAAATTCCTTATTGAAAAGGAATCTATGCATCAAGTAAACATCCCTATTTCTATAAAATGGATCAAACCTATGGCTAACCATATTAAGCTTAATATAGATGGCTCCTTCAATAATGAAACATCCACATGTGGTTTCGTTGGTTTATTTAGAGATAGTAATGGCATATGGGTGTTGGGGTTCCATGGTTCTTCATATGGTCTATCTCCCCTGCATGCAGAACTTATGGCATTAAAGAAAGGCCTTCAACTAGCCAGGGAACAGGGTTTTACTAACATTGATGTGGAGACAGACTCCATAGATGTCATTCTATGTCTACAACATGGTTACACGCTGCTTAACAACATTATTCATGATTGTAGGTTATTGATGCACCAGGTGAAAGTTCAAACAGTCGAGCACAACTTTAGAGAGGCCAACAAACCAGCACACAAGCTGGCTAAGGATGCTCTTCGTGTGAACAATGGCAGGGATTTCGGAACTTTGAACTATCCTCCACATTTTGTAACCGCCGTCTTAGCAACTGACTATGAAGCTACTACCTATCTAGTTAAGAATATTAGGAAGGATGCATGCACTAAGCTTGCATCCCTTGGAAACAAAAAATGTCCTTCGTGACTTTTCAATACTATGTAATAGCCAAGTAGGTAACCCCCCGCTGGGCAACTTTGACAATGTTGCTACTACCTAATGATTATTAGTATAATATAATAGATCCCTGCTTATCAAAAAAAAAAAAAGGTGTTTGGACATGATCCGGTTGAAACCAAGCTAAGGACTCATTTGATTGCACTTAATGAGGTCTGAATCTTAATCATTCATATCTCAGACATTAAGTGCGTTTGTTTTAAAATCCGAATCTTAATTATTCAGATCTTAATAATTAAGTATTTTTATTTTTTTAACTTCACAATCACTTAATGAGTTTGAATGAGACTGTATGATTAAGAGCCCGTTTGGATTAGCTGATTGTAAATAGCTGATAAGTTTGAAGTGCTGGAAAATATTTTTAAGTGCTGAAACTTATTTTTTTAATAAGCATTTACGTGTTTGGATAGATGTGCTGTAACTAATAATAAGCAGTTGATATGTTTGGTAGAAAAGTGCTGATAAGCTGTTATTTTGTTAAAATGACTAAAATACTCTTACAAACTTTACAAAAGATTGTAAATTAAAAAGTTTCTTTGTAAAGAAAATGATGAACAAATATGGAATAAAGAGAACGTTAGTTTATTTTGGGAAAAATATTTTGTGAATTAAAACATATTATTAAGGATAAACTAGTAAAAGCCTTGGTCAAACTAAAAGTGCTTATAAGCTGAAAAGCCATAAGTTGGGGTCACCAACTTATGACTTATGGCTGATTTTAGCTTATAAGCACTTGACTTATAAGCACTTTGAATGTTTACCAAACACGTAGATAAGCCAAAATATGCTTATAAGCCAGTTTGACCAGCTTATAAGCTTAGCCAAACACCCTCCAAGATTTATAACAGAGACTTAATTTCATTAAGAGGCTATCATCCATATTCATTACTAACTGCCGTCAGCGCATACCATTATCAACTACCACCATACCACCCACCACAACCATACTCAACCACCACCACCACCACCACCATCAGCCTCAATCATAGTCGTCACCACTATCGACTACCACCACCTGCCATCTCCACCACTCCCACCACCATCATTCTCAATCATAACCAACACTCTTCCACCTCAACTACCACAACTAACCACCCCATCACTGTCAACAACCATAGCTAGCACTGCCCATCATTATAAACTAGCATCACTCACCACCACCTTTCTCGATCACAACTACCACCACCACCCGTCATTATTAACTATCACTACCCACCACCACCATCCTCAATAATAATCACCACCATTACAAATCACCACTAGCTACAACCCTACCACCACCGTCAACCAAAATTATCACCAACCACCGCCTCAAGTCGGCATTCACAAGCACCATCGTTAACCCTTATCACCGGCAACTACCATATTTTAAAACACTATATATTTTAGTGATAGAATATTATACTAATTAGTATTTCATTTGAATTTTATGTTTATTATTTTTTAAATAAAGATAAATTTTATATATTCAGATGTTAGAAATCAAATTGTCTTAATTATTTAGTATTTAGATCTTCATACACATCTTAATATTCGGATGTGTATTCAGATTCAGATTCAAATATCTTAATCTTAATCTTAATATACATCTTAATATTCAGATGTGTATTTAGATTCAAACGTCTTAATCTTAAAAAAAAAAAAAACTAATGATGCCTAACTATCCTTCATTCTTAAAACACAACTATAAGATAATAATATCAACTTTAACCCTCAACAAGCTAAAGTCAAAGAGATGTTATTTTCTAGATACAAACCACGTTACGGTCTTAGTTCATAAAGTTTTAGTTCAAATGAACTAGATGTATTAAATTAATCTATGTAGTGGTCTTTAGTAAGAAGTATTTTAATACTCAAAGTGGTGGAATTTTTCAGAGTGGAACTATATTATATGAACCAAAATAAATAATGAGTAAAAAACAAAAATAAACAAAACCTATAAAATTATCTCAAATTAGAGCTTTATTTTATGACAAAAAAAAAATTGTAAAAGGTTAAATATTCAATCCCAATTGCAAATTGGAATATATTATATTCCCAATTCGGTAATCCACTGCATAAGAACCTTTATATTCCCCTCTTTTCCTTTTTATTATTCCTTCCCCATTAAGATAAACCAACAATAAATATAAAATATATATAAATAAAGAAACATAATTACACAAATCTTGAAACACAACAATATACATCGCGTAATTTCAAAACGGATCAATTCCATTCTTAAAGGCGGCCAGAAGGAGAAGAAAAAAAGTTTTTTTGGGTTGAATATTTTGTCAAAATTTACAGAGGTTTTTAGAGATGAAGATCACAGCGTTGATGGTGTTGAAATGCATTCCAGAAGGTTCGGATCCAGTGATCTTAGCGAACGCATCTGATGTGAGCCATTTCGGGTATTTTCAGAGATCCAGCGTTAAGGAATTCATCGTTTTCGTGGGTCGGACCGTCGCTAAACGGAACCCGCCGGGCCAACGCCAATCCGTTCAGCATGAAGGTTTACATTTTTAAGAAACCCTTTTCGAATTTTGGTTTTGATTTGTTTGATTTTTTTTGTGAGTTTGTGTTATTTGGGCCTGGGGAATCTGCAATGTGTTTGATCTGATTTTGGGGAATTACAGATGCGTTATGGATTGATGAATTTTTGTTCCTAATTGGGTAATCTATCCGTCTGTCCCAATTCATGTGGTGTTGTTTCCCAATTTACGTGATGCTGTTTGACTGGGCACATAGTTTAAGAAAAACAAGAAAAGCTTTCGAAACTTGTGGCGTAAAACAGATCATAAATATTTTAAATCATCTTATTAAGGGTAAAAATAGTAAGGTTATAGTCAATTTATTTCATCATATAGAAAGTTATTAAGAGTATGCCATAAATTGGGAGGGAGGGAGAAGTTGGTTTTGAGAAATTGTTTGGGCTGTAGCTCAATTTCAGTGTTTCTTTTGGTCGATTGTATAGATGGATGAGCAATGTTGCAAAGTTGCAGCTATTGGTCCTATAGGTGCTGATGATGCTTTGATACTTGAATTAGTTGGGATTTGGGAATTCGATATTACTCATGTTTATACAGTTACTTCTGGTCCTATGTGTTTTCGTGGAGTCTCTTAGTCATATTAGAGATTCTTATGCCAATAGAAACTATAAAAAACCTCTAGTACTTTTTGGTTATATTTATATTTTGTAAAATGTTGACCGGAGATGAATTTAAATGGTAACATGGTCAATGGGGATTCATATAGCCAATCCCAATTGTTTGGGACGAGGAGTAGCTGTTGTTGTTATTGTTGTTGTTCGGGAGATGGTTTTGTTGGGTGGGGGTTGGGGGTTTGTTGGGGGTGGGGGTTTCAAAAGTAGAAGGAAGAAGTAGGGAATAGCTCAGTTAGGAAAATTGTTTTGTGTGAACTGATTAATCTTTTCGGTTAAATTTTTTGAAGTCTTAAGTCTTCACACCCTTAACATGGGTTTTGTTAAGGGTTATTGATAGGAGTAGCAAACGGGCGGGTCGAGTCGAATATGGTTCGGGTCGAAAACTGGTAATGAAAAATGGATAAATTATCCGACCCGACTCATATTTAATACGGATAAAAAACGGGTTAACTGGCGAATAATATGGGTAAACATATTATCCATGACTTCTTGACTATGATCACTTTTGGGAGAATTCCTAGTCTCCCAAACATGAGGAACCCCCAATTTGAGGTTTTACAAATGTAAAAGTTTAACTCATTTGTTATTCATTAGTTATGCATTGGTTATCCATTTTCTAAATGGATAATATGGTTCATAGCCCAGACCCCACCTGGTGGGATTTTACTGGGTAGTTGTTGTTGTATAATATGGTTCATATCTATATTTGACACATTTTTAAAAAGTTCATTATCCAACGCATTTTTTAGTGGATAATATGGGTGGTGACTATTTTCTTTTAACCATTTTGCCACTACTAGTTATTGATATTTGCCAACTGGTGTAGGATATGACAACTGGTCAGATTGGTTCCAAATCTCAGGCTCTGGCACAGAGTAGGATAGTTGATTTTTAACTCACCATCTGATTAGTTCTAGGTCTGTAAAGAAAAGGCCCCTTTTTACATTATTTTATGTGATTATTGAGTGAAGTATGTGAGCGTTGAGGATGAAATGAAACGAGCGGCTGGAGTGGATTTGGCAATCTTTAGCACATAAATTGCTCCTGGCTTTGGACCTAGATGTTACTTTCCAGATACTCTTTCATTTTCGTCTAAATATTTTGCTGTTCAGAGTTCTTCGTTTCTTCTCTCTTTAAATTTCTGACGTATGTTGAGTTTTAGTAGTTGGCTATGGAATTGTTAGTTAGATCTACAAGTCTTAGTCCACAGAAAAAAAAAGCAAATTCCTTTGTGTCTCCCTCGGTACCCTCCACAAAAGCCCCAAATGAGCGAAAATAAGATTAATTGTGATTCCAAGTTGTCTAGTCATGCCAGTGGAAGCAGCGTCAACACTCAGCATGTTGATTAGACATTTTAACAAGGAATGTTTCAGTGATCTTTCACTTTAACATGGTTGGGCTTCATGAATAAGTTTTATGTTTGGATGTAGTATTCTAAAAATCACTTTTGCTATACATTAGGATTTCAAACTGTAGGTTTCTGTTGATTTCTAATGAAATGGTTGATTATATATTGATTTGAGGTTTTCTATTTCTCAAACTTTACCTGAAGTACAAGTGGTCTTATTATGTAATACTAAAACAATAGTGTGATCAGTATTACACAATACTGATCAATCTATCACTTTACACGAGATAGATTTTTCGATAGTGTTTGTTTTCCTTTACCTTATCTTATAAGCTTCAAGAAGTTCACATAGAAGTTGATTGATATAATACAATCTGATATATAGATGTTTTTTTTTGACTTTTCTGTCATTGCATTTTCTTAAGAAGTTATATGGTCAAATCAATTAGAAGTCAATATGTGTAAAATGTTATTCATTTAATTTATAATTGAAAAAAACCGTAAATCTACTGATACATGGTATATTCCTCAAATATATTTTTTCACACGCACAAGGTTTGACATATGTTTTTAATCTCCTTTTTCTTTTGACTTTAGAATACAAGGTACATTCATACAATCGAAATGGTTTGTGTGCTCTGGGTTTCATGGATGATCACTATCCAGTTCGAAGTGCATTTTCACTGCTCAACCAGGTATTTGTTTTCTATTTTAGATATTCAGCTTTGAAAGGAGAAACTCTATATATCTGGAAATCAAATTGTGGATTTGCTTCTGATTTTTTCCAGGTTCTGGATGAGTATCTAAAGAATTTTGGTGAGTCATGGAAAACCGTGCAAAGCGACAATGCTCAACCATGGCCTTATCTGAATGAAGCTCTAGCCAAATTTCAGGTATCCCTTTTGTTTCCCGCTGCTGATTGATGATGAAATTTCCTTTTCAATCAAATTTTTCATACATTCATTTTAAAACATTTGATGTTTGAGCTGAAGTCCTTTCATGTTGACCCCTACAGGATCCTGCTGAGGCTGATAAGCTGTTCAAAATTCAGAGAGAGTTGGATGAAACTAAAATTATTCTCGTAAGTATTAATAATCAAAAAGTTTTAAAAAATTATCGTCGTAAGCATTGTGTTATTCATTTGATTGCCTGCTTAATGTTATCTTTGTGAGCTTCTTTACTGAAAAATGATAGTAAGCAGTATGCATGTGGATAATGAACAGTTGATCATCGAGGACTGAGTTGTGGAAGACCTGGACACAATATAGGTTCTCCATTTCTTTGGTTAATGATCTTTATCATAGCCACTGCGAACCATTTTCCTGTAGAGCTTCTGCTGTTGCGCATTAAGTTACCAAAAAAAGTTATTAGGTTTTATTGCTTTTGACGGGTCGAGATTGTCTATATGCTTAATTTCTCGTTCTTTCTTTGAACTTTTTTGGCTTGTGTCCTGCATTGATCGAGGAATGGGTTGTGTCTTTTTTTTTTTATGGTTTTGGACAGTCTTCACACATGAGCTAGCTATTGAGATTGATTAATGCGCAAGGTCCAATTTTCTCAAGGCCCTTTTTTCTTAACTTGGTATAAGTGGGACCATCTTGTTCTGCCGTCCCTCATGTTATGTCATTAACACTTCATATGTTCAATCTGGGTGTGCTGGACTGCGGGACTGTTAGAGTATCCACAGTGGTTGAGATGATGGTTTGTAGTCTCTTTATGTGACTTTGGGCAACCCCTATCTCATCTCATAAGCTAGCTTCTGGGGTTAAGTGAGGGTGCCAGGTCCATTTTTCTTAACACACACAAGAGTTAAGTTTTGTATGCTTCATTCTCATGCTCTATCTCATTATATTTTGACGGGACGCAAGACTTATGTATCCCAAATTTATCATAGAGCCTGCTTTTGGAGCACTAGACTATTTCTATACTGTATATTGTACTCTGAAAATTGTTATCGCATTCAAATGGTTGTAAAGGCATTCATTCTGAGTACTCATCTCTGGTCCGTGACTCTATGATTATTTACTCTGTTTATAATATGGAAAAATGTGCATTCTCAAAAAGAAAAAGGAATAAATGTGATACTGAACTCTTGAATTTCCTTTTCACCGGTTAGAGCTCACCTGCTTCACTATAGCCTAGTGGATGTTTTTGGTAATAGTCTATTTGAGAATAAAGTAAGTGTAGTTTTTTCTCCAAGTTCTTTGCCAATATGCTTTGTTTGGTTGGGGTGGAAAGAGAAAGAACAGAAGCGATTTTATTTCCCTGATAAGTTAAGATAAAAAGAACAGAAGCGATCTGAGCTATGGTTTATTTCTATTGTTTGGTACTTTGGCGAGGATGTAATAGATTGGGAAGTTGCTTCTCTGTATACTTCTTAGCCCCTTCCAACTTGGACAAAAAGAAGGGAAGTATATCTTCTGTGGTTACATTCCAACCTTGCCAAACATTAGAGGTAAATGATGAATTCCCCCTCTCTTATGGGAAGTAAATAAATAATTTCTTTCATTTTTACCATTCCTATCCCATTTGGGAACCTAGCTTACTGATAGTTGATGGTGAGTGACTAATAGTGAGGGAGGTTCCAGGGAAGTTTTGTCCCCTGGAAAATGAAAAGAAATAGAGAAAGTCTAGGTCAAGGCAGGAAGTTTAAGTGTGACTTTCCTCGTAGTTGGGGGTGGGGGTTAAGCGTCCGATTCGATAATGAACACTAAATGAAAGAGGCAAATCAATTTTCCACCAACTAAGAATCTTGTGTAAAAAACATTTATGTAAGTACGATTATATGACCGATCATATATGCCATTTAGAATTTTGTCCCACACAATTCTGTTAGGACCCTTTTTAACAAAGGAATTAATTAACTCAAAATGTAGCTCTAGGAAGAATATCTTAAGGATGTTAAAGATGCTGTAGTTAGGTTATCAATGAAAGTTGATCTCATATTCTGTTTTTGACAGCTTAGAATTTACCAAATATGTTGCTGTGTTTTGGTGGATGTGTGTCTACCTTCTTAAATTTAGTCTTCATCACCTATATCACGAAACAGATTATCTAGAATCAGTATATACCTTTATATTCTCCTATTTGTCCCTAATGTTTGCTAGAGAGCAAGAAAGTATGTTTCTCTTTCCTTCTTTTTGTTGTGTGTGTTTGGGGGTTGGAGTGGTTATAATGGCATCAAAATTGACATGAGCATAAATGAAATTTTTTAAACCCATACAGGCATTTTGGGTTCCTAAGATATATGTTACGCCATTCTGAGTATGGCTTTCTATTTTTTATTGATAAGCTCTCCAAGGTATTTCCACGTTGTCCCTCTTGTAGGTCATGTTTTTTTTTAATAATATCTGGTTTGACCTTCCTGGGCTTTTTAACCCAACTATTCTTTAACATATATAGGGACATCCTGAAACCTAACATCGAATGCTGTTGAGTAGAAATTAGAAAATGAATCTGATTCTTCCATTGCACACTCAGTGCGGTAGTTAAATATCTGCTCTGAATTAACATTTGTTAGACGTAGTTATTCTGTTTATTTTGGATTTGCTTTCAGAACGCGCCTGCATTATGTATTAAACTATTAATGCATGAAAAATACTCTGCTCCGCTTCTTTTGTTGCTGTTAGCTCTACTGATGTTGGTCTTCTTTACCTTTTGACACAGCATAAGACAATTGACAGTGTCTTAGAACGGGGTGAGAAGCTAGACAGTTTGGTTGAGAAGAGTTCAGATCTAAGTGCTGCTTCACAGGTACTTTTGTGACAGTGCATCTGTTTGAGTTTTGTTTTCTTTCTTTTTTGATAAGGTAAATAATTTTGTTAATGTGGGAAAAACTCACCTATATCTGTTAGAGGATTGCTCTTCCACTTGTCTTTTCCTCTCTTTTTGATCCGGTAAACCTACATTTATCCCTTCCCAACCTCTCCACCTAGGAGTCAACAGTAGCCCTTCCCCGCTTTGTTCCCCGCTTTCTTCATAATTCCATGTTGTGCTTTCCACTTGAGCAACCCTCTCTTATCAAAGGATTTGCTCTTCCTTGTTTCTTTGTGAGTAATCATTTGATCTCTACTGTTTTTATCAATTTTTTTTTTACAATTCAAACCGTCTTTACTGTTGTGCGGATGATAATCGGATGTTTGACAAAGTGTTATTGGTCACTTGACTTAAAAAGATGCAAGAGCTTGTTAAGTTCAATATTGAGTTAAAAAGAAATTATTGAGTTGCACAGGAAAGGTTATTTGCAATTAATCTAGGGGAAGTATTTGACTAAGTCACATTCTCTACAAGCATGGTAGACATGGCTATGGTACTCAAATTTTGCAGGCCAAGGTTTAGATAGATGAGAAGAAATAACCTACTAATTTTGTCTCCACGGGGATCTCCCATCCCTTTAGGCATTGGAAATTATTCTTTTTCCGAACATACAGCAGGCTACCTTGAGTGCTAACTTGAGTCATTGGAATGAAATCTAAAAACTAACTGATTTCCCTGCATCCGAAGGTAGACAACCTCCGCTACTGTATTCCACTGTGTGAAAAGGGACTCCTTGGGCATTAGCTTCTTTTCTTTCCTGTCCTTACTTTTGCTGCCTCTCTCTCTCTCTCTCTCTTCCTTTTTGTTTCTTATTTTTCTTTTCCTTTTCGTTGTTGTCTTGGCCTAGTTTTGCCCTAGTAGATGAACACCTGGACTTTGTTAAAGTTGAGCTGCTTTATTTTAGTTGGCTAAAGAAGTTGGAGGAGCTTGATGTATGTGAAAGGTGAGGAATGACATGACATGGATATAGAAGGGCCATTGATCTGCAAGAAAAATTGGATGCATTTAATATGAATTAATCTTGGCCAGTATAACCAGGAGTTTGTTGCTTACAAGAATAACCAGTATTGCTGGGTCTCTTTATTTATTTGCTTTTGGGACGTCTCTTGGGAGGAATTCAGCATATTGAAGGCTAATGCATGGAATGGAACTGACAATATTCAAATGTGGGAATATGGAACTGAGCAACAAGCTCTGTAGTATTATAAACACAAGATACACGCACTGCCCATCTGCTGGCCTGCAGATCAAAGATATCTTCCCGTCAACTGTCCACGTGTCAAAACATCATAGAATCATGCTCTGTTATATGCCCGTTGGGAGTTTTTTTGGATGAATTGAAAGACACTTTATGCTAAAATTTATTTTGCGTTTTTTGGAGGGGGGTGGGTGGGGCTGCTTAATGAAAGCAACATGGTGATGCTATTTGTAGACGTGCTCGTCGATAGGGAAAGTAAACGTCTGAAATAGCTGTCTTCTTCTTATAGATGAACTGTGTTTGTTTGAATTCTTTGCTCTATGACCTAATATATTTTGGTGATATGTTGATGGATCGCCCCGATTAGAAACAAGATGTGCTTGTTTGTTTATGCTGTTAACTATTTATCATTGTTACTCTTGCTAATGGTAATATTGTAGAAGCTGTAAAATCTTACAGATTATCTTTGAACCTTCATTAGTTTCAACTTATTTCCTGACATAAATTGGCGGTTTTCAAACAGATGTTCTACAAGCAGGCGAAGAAAACCAATTCATGCTGTACTATCTTATAGATGATTTCAGAAGAAAGGGGGGATATTCTATCACGGACAAACTCGTGTCTATGTTATATATAAAGTATCAGAGAATTGTTTGTTTATACCATCTATGATTTCTGTAAGCTCGAATTCTTTTGGTTCTCTGCTGTAATATGATCTCAGATGAAGAGAAGGGTTTCAGTTTCAGATTGATATGTCGTTTGAAAGTTGTGATGTCACCTAAATATAGTTATCTGATAAGTTTCTCGATGGCTATTGGCTTCCTGTTACCTGTTATTATCTCTTGATATATCATATGCGCTGACTCCGGATACTTTAGTAGTACCTAAATTTTGTATATTGATAGTCATTGTCAACGAGCGATGCAGGTATGTTCTATGTCAGTCGTCACATTGTTTGTATCGAAATAATAAGCTCGAAGGATCCATATCCCAGAAGCATTTATTTGAGTGATGTGATAAGAGATAGGTGTTTACCAGAGTTGGAATATGTTGTGAACTTGATGCTATTTTAATGATGTCTTACTTGAATTCACAATTCAAAATGACTGAGCAGTGTAAGAAGTTGCAGTAACAAAGAGAGTTCTTAGTATGAGAACTTTTTTTTTGTTGTCTATCAAATTTACTGTTTATTATTAGATGTACAAAAAGATGTAACTTGAGCTGACTGGCTATTGTTAAAAATTTCATATCACCGAAGGTAGAAGGGGTAACTGATTATATATACTTATTATGTTGTGTTAAAAGTTTCACAATGTGTGTATACATAAACCAACAGAGCGTAATGCCAAATGTCAATTGATAAGCCAGGATATAAAGCAAAAGAAATGTGATAGGAATATGATTCAATTGAGCATATAATTAGCAAAAAGAAATAAGACCAAATGGTTCTAGCATTATGCTAAAACTAATATAAATAAGCTGATAGATGAGTTGCATTTTTACCTTTTTTCCCAAGAGTTTGCCCGTATAAATTTACTCATAATTGTCGGTCTTAATTTTGGATAAAGAAGGGTGGTAGTAAACTAACATAAAACTAGTCAATTTATGATAATATTATCGATCGTAAGTTTGGATTTGTGATATCAATGCAATGAGTCAAAAAGTAACAAAACATTACACAAGATTTATATATTCAATCTTAGAGCCCGTTTGTTTGGTCAAGCTGCCAAAATCTGTTTTTTTTTGAAAAGTACTTTTTTTAAGAAGTACTTTTTTTAGAAGTACTTTTGAAAAAAAACTGTTTGTGTTTGGCCAATTCATTTAAGAAGTACTTTTTGGAATATTTTGTAAATAATTTGTGTTTGGTCAATGATTTCAAAAAGTGCATTTGAGTGTTAAATTACCAAAAAGGATAGTACCAATGTCGTATAATTCTTTTAAACATAAAAATAAACTTATATATTTATCGTAACTGACTTTTATTATTATTTTATTTAATTAAAATATAAAACATAAAGTAAAAACATATTAAAGATTTAGATCAATTTTACATATATAGTTATACTAAAGTATATGATATTATCTAGTATAATTACTTATTTTATGTGATGATTTGATCATTAAAATAACATCATTCAGTATAAATTAGAAGTCTGTCCACAAATTACTATATATTGATAATCCATCATGAAATAATAAGTAAAGTCACTCACACATGATAATACTTCTCAACAATTTCATCTCTACTTCTATCACACAATGCTTCAATATTAGTAGAAGACTTGCCTCGCATTTCTAAAAGCATATCAGAGTGATCTCCTTCATCAATCTCTGCAGTAATGTCTTCATTCGTATAATAGTTGAATTCTTTATCTGTAAAATAATGTTGTCTGATGAAATTATGTATAGCCATGGTAGTTGTAACTAGATGATTTTGAATGTCAAACTTGAAAGATGGCATTGAGCGTAAAATAAAAATAATTTTAAATATATAAAAAAATTCCTAAAAGAAATAGTTAAGTATGTTTAAATTCTAATTCAAAAAGAGTAACTAATTATATACAACAAATAATGTATAATATATATATATATATATATATATATATATATATATATTTATATATATATTTTAAAATTTAAATTCAAAAAGAAATTAATTATTACCTAACCTTGCTAACTTTGTCCTAAAATGCCACGTGGCCTATTGTGAGGCTACCACTTGACTAAATATGGATGCATTTTCTTCCTTTTTAATAATATATAGATAGATTACGCAATGCAATTGTAAATTTATTACCTATTTGTAGGTCATTTTCACAAATCAAATTTGATAAATGTTTTAAAGTTTCGGGAGCTAATAGCATATAATAGAAGAAATTATAAATAATTATTTGTAGGAAGAGAATTGATAATCCAAAGAAGATGCAGATAATTTGCTTTAGTGTGAAAAAAGAAGAAGATAATTTGGAAAGTTATGAGACATTACACAAAGAAAAGATCAAAACAAGAAAAGTCAATAAATTTTTTGAAAAGTTACAATGTGATTCATATATACGATATATTTAATTTTAATAGGATGGTAAAAATTAGAAACAAAAATGAAAAAAAAAACTTAAATTAGTAAGGGATAATTTGGAAAATATAAATTTATGGTGAGGATAGTTTTGTCTTGAATAAATTAATTTTCTACTTCTGCTTCTGCTTCTTGGAAGAAGCTAGAATTTTCTGCTTCTTCCCAAAAGTAGAAAAACTGCTTCTGCTGCTGGCAAAAAGTACTTTTCTATATTGGCCAAACAACTCAAATTTTTTCAAAAAGTACTTTTTGGAAAAAAAAAATACTTTTGGCCTCCAAGAAGCTTGGCCAAACAGGCTCTTACTTAGATCGAGATTGAAGTGTATTTGATTGATTTGGTTGTACTTCCCAAATTCAACTTCTCAAGCATAATATGATTGCATGAACACTCCATCTCATATTAAAAGTAATTTTGCAACTTTAATCATTTCTAACTTTGTAGATTAAAAAAAAAGGCAGTCCGGTGCACTAAGCTCCCGCTATGTGCGAGGTCCGGAGAAGGTTCGTACTACAAGGATCTATTTTACGCAGCCTTAACCTAGAGGTTGTTCCACGGCTTCAACCCTTGAACTCCTGGTCACACGGAAGCAACTTTACCAGTTACGCCAAGACTCCTCTTTAAACTTTTTAGATTAATATGAAAAACATTATAAGTATTAAGTTGTGAACTTATATCTTAAAAAAAAACTTATATCTTGAATCTTTCAAGTTTAAATCTTAGATTCGCTTACAGTAATCTTAGAACTATTCTTAACTCTTACCTTTAATTTCACATACAGGAGAATTTTATGCTATCCATCTCTGGTCTGCATTCATAATTTATTTTTTGGCTTTCATAGATTTCCGTAGAAATGACACCAGGTGGCAACTCTAAAGGGTATCTATTTAGGAATTGGCTAGTATATTTTGAATTTCAGTTTTTTAGTTTAATTTTTCAGGACAAAATATCCTAAATTGTCCTAAAATTAAGATTTTTAGTCTAAAATTTCACGATAAAATAAATTCTGGCTAATCTTTAAATAATATCTATGAGCAAATGGCTATATGTGCAAATGCCCCTAGATTTCCTGTATGACGTACGTTGCCCACCCTACAGGCAAGAGGAGTCTAGACTGGTCCCAAACAAAGCAACTTTTAAGACTCATGGGGAACAATTAATATGTACTTCTGTCTATTTATAGAATGTGATATCATTGATTACATATACCAAAGATTTTTTTTTACAAGAAATAAATTCAAATTGATGCCTCGAGACTCGTAGGGGTAAAGTTTGCGTACACACTACACTCCCTAGACCCCACTTGTGAAATTATACTGGGTATGTTGTTGTTGTAGACTCGTTGCTCACAATATTGTAAAAGAGTTAGTATTAAAAATTTTAACATTGAATTAATCGTATTTTTAAAAAGCACTGACTTAAGAAAAAATCTGGTATCATCATACCGTCGTTTCATTGAAAGATGATTCGACGTCGTGATGCAAAGGCTGACCGATTCTGCTTATGGTTTTCGATATGGCGGATAGTTCACTTATATCGTAAGATAAGTATGGCTAACTTGGAGTCGATCTCTGAGGATGTAGCTCTTACTACAGTATTTAGTCTATTTATAATAAATTAACTACACCTTTTCATCACCTACAAAAAATATATCTCCCGTGGATTTCGGAGTTCCCTCCTTGTCGGGATATTTCCTGGGTCAAGTATTCCCTCGACAGCACCCCCTCGTCTGAAATATGACAAGACTACAGTGTGAAAGCTTGCAGCCAAGGTCGAATGCTTCCTCACCAAGTTAGAATACTATAGAAATCCAAGTTTGTCTTCATGCCAAAAGAAAGAAACAAATAAGATTCAACATTTCACACATACTTCAAATACAAACCACACCCTATTACTATTACCTTTACAATGTTCCAGAAAACAATCATGATCATTCGGAACTAAAAACAAACTCTTTTTATAACACAACTTTTCATTGTTTATATAGTAGATTTTTACCATAATAAGGATGAAACGGTGCGTCCCATCGGTGGGAACAATGCTAAGTTGCTAACATAAATCAGTATCCAAAAGAGGGGCCACTGCCTTATCCTTGGTTCCTAAGTTACGAGTTACTACGATATTGCACCCTTTTAGGGCTCTTTTGGTACGAGCGATAAAGGATAATTAATTTCGAGACTGAATTTGAGATGTGTTTATCTCATGTTTAGTTGGGATAAAATCGTGCTATAATTAATCTCGGGATTAGTTATCCTAAGATTGTAATATTGTCTTTATCCCTTTGAGAGGGTAAAATAATTAATCCGAAATAATTAATCATGGGATAACTTGTTTGCCAAACAAACGGCCCCTTATAGTCGGAGCCACAATTTTGAGTGCTTATGCGCACTACATTATAGAAAAAAATAGCTTATTAGGTTATAAATAAATTATTATTTTTAATACAAATATAAAATTTAAACTAAAATTACTAGATTTTACTGAACACATAAGTTAAAACCTAGCTCCTCCCTTGCCTATACAGAAATCTCCACAACAAAAGCTTCAAGACTTGTTCATTAGGTCGTTTCTGATGCGCCTACAAAATTTTAGGCGATTCGAAGTCCCTTGCCCGAATTCATAAAAATGACGTGGATATTAGCACATAAAAAATTAAAAATCGTCCCGAATTCCTATTTTATGTTCCTTAAACGCCAAAAAACGACGAACAACCACGACGAAACAATGACTATGGTTCATTAGGTCGTTTCTAATGGG